CCGGGGAGGCCTCCGGCAAGCCCCGACGAGCCTCCGGGCCCCCCGGGCCCACAATTGTGGTCGGGGTCCCGGCCCCGGGCCCCCGGACCCCGTGCGCCGTTATATGTATATACACACACATATATGTGTACACATGTATAGTGGCGCTGGCCGGTTCCCCCCTGCTAATGTCAATGTGTTTTCTCTTCTTTCTTGGGGGGGGGAATTTGCAATGTTCGTGGCGTGTGTTTTTGGCGCGGGGATCCTCACCTCGATGCACAGATCAATCTCCGGAGCAGCAGCAGCAGCACGAGTAGTAGTCGCAGTGGCAGGAATACTAAGAATACGCTAGCGCTGCCTGTTCTGAAAATATTGTAGTCCTGTTGTAGCGGTCTCCAGATACTATCCTACTCGAACACCTCCGTACTGAAGAAATAGCACTGCATTGATACATACCTGTGCGAACAGTATTGCAGTAGTACGTGATTAAAATATTCGTGACTTGCTGGTGGCAGTTCGCCTGTGCTGACTGTCGTGATAACAGGAGTAGTGGTAGCTGCAGGAGCAGTAATATAAGTAGTAGGCCGTGAAAACGAAAACTGCAGAATTGCTTCAGGTTCGTGATGTTCTACTAATGCTACTACTACTACTACTACTACTACTACTACTACTACTACTACTACTACTACGACTACTACTATGACGATTACTACTATCAGTATTACTACTACTACTACTACTACTACTACTACTACTACTACTACTACTACTACTACTTCAACTACTACTACTACTACTACTACTACTACTACTACTACTACTACTACTACTACTACTACTACTACTACTACTTACTACTACTACTTACTACTACTACTACTACTACTACTACTACTACTACTACTACTACTAATTACTACTACTACTACTACTACGATTACTACTACTACTACTACTACTACTACTACTACGACTACTACTACTAAGACTACTAGTAGTACGACTACTACTAACACTACTATTACCACTACTACTACTACTACTACCACCACTACTACTACTACTACGACTACTACTACTACTACTACTACTCCTACTACTACTACTACTACTACTACTACTACTACTACTACACATACTACTACGAATAAGAATACAGCATTCTAGCACTGCCGCAGTAGTCTTCTCCTAATGACGTAGAAGCGCGAACATTTTCCTTTAGTAGAAGTAGTAATTCTCAGCTACTGTAGTAAATGTTAGATTACACTGCTTACTGTAGAAGTTGCGCTGTCGTAGTGCAGTAGATGGGATCCACTACTGTAACCTTCGAGTACAGTAGTCGTACAGCCGAACTCTACTGATATAGCAATAGTACTGTAGAGGAAGTGAGATACTATGGTAGTCGTGGCAATAATAAGCTGCTACAGAGGAGCGCTTTCTAAAGAACACAGGCAATACGCCCGCTGATGCACCACTGCCGTGCTAGAGTGCCACTGCTACAGCCAGTACGAGGGTACTACGACTACGACTGCTACTACAATGCCACAATTCACCATTACTAGTACTGCTACTGTCCCGCTGCGTACTACAGCAACCAATGATAAAGTACGATCGTTGAAAAATTGGAAAGTCAGCTACGCCGCTAATACACATCTACAACTACTGCAATACTCGGCTACGAGTATACATGTACATCTACTTCTACTACGACTACTACTACTGTTACGACTACTACTACTACCCATACTACCGCTATACTACTATACTACTACTACTACTACTACTACTACTACTACTACTACTACTACTACCACTACGACTACTACTACTACTAGTACTACTACTACTACTACTACTACTACTACTACTACTACTACTACTTCTACAACTACTACTACGACTACTACTACTATTACTACTCCTACTACTACTACTACTACTACTACTACTACTACGACGACAAAAATTACTATTACTATTACTAATATTACTACTACTACTACTACGACGAATACTACTACTGCACCATTACATTGGATACAACCAATAAAACCTACAAGAGTACTACTACTACTACTACTACTACTACTACTACTACTACTACTATTACTACTACTACTACTACTACTACTACTACTACTACTACTACGACTACTAATACTGCTACTGCTACTACTACTACTACTACTACTACTACTACTACTACTACTACTGCGCCATTACATTGGATCGAACCGATAAAACCTACAAGTAAACTACTGTACCAAGAGTACTACGGCGACTACGACACGAGCAAAGTGCAACTGCGACTACAGTACAGTGCGACGAATGCAGTACTATTACGGCACTGCGGTGCTAGGGAACGGTTGCTGTGCCTGAGTACTACAATCTGGGAGCCTCGCGCTTACTGCAGCTAGCAACACAACGGTATCCGTAGAATGCTATCATACAACTGCTTCAGGACTTTTGCTACAACGCTGAACTACGACGGTTACAATGCTGCCACTGCAGCACTTCTGCGTTATAATGCCACAACAGTGCTGCGGCACCACGGTGTTGAAGCATTCCTACTACAGTACTGTAGTACTCCCACTGCAAGCAATGAGAAAGCACTTCTCTCACGAAAACTGTACTAGAGAACTGCTTCTACAGTTCCACTACTACAGTAGTGCAACAACCTTCCGACAATACCACGAACACACCACCGCACCTCGAGGATAGAACTACTGTACTCAAATACTGCAGTAGAAGACTACTCCTACGACTACATTTACATGGCTACTACAGCGCTGCTATCTCATTACTGCAAGACGACTACGGCAGTTCTAGAATTCTGAATCAGTGGAGCACTACTCTTATTCAAATGATACAGAACTGCTGCTACGACGACAATCAGCACTAGAGAACGGCTGGTACAATACAATGGTATGCATACCATAGAATACTGCGTTACTGCTAGTACAGGACTGTAGCAATCCAGTACCACTACTGTGGTACTTAAGTAATACAGTGAGGCATTGATTGGGGATACCACTACACCAGGACTACAGGACGTCCACTACAGACAGTAACAGAGTACGACTACTACTACTACTACTGCTGCTGCTGCTGCTGCTGCTGCTACTACTACCGCAGTACTGCTACAGTGTTAGCAAAACTTGAGTAGTACTGCTACTGCAACTGCTACTGCTACGTTTACTGCAACTGCGACTACCACGACTACTACTTCTTCTACTACTACTACAACTACTACCACCACTACTACTACTACTACTACTACTACTACTACTACTACTACGACTACTACTACTACTACTACTACTACTACTACTACTACTACTACTACTACGACCAAGACTACGACTACTACTACTACTACTACTACTACTACAACTACTACTACTACTACTACTACTACTACTACTACTACTACTACTACTACTACTACTACTACTATTGCTGTAGCTTGAGACGGGAGGTGGACGGGCGGGGGCGGCGGACGCACGGAGGCGGAGATCATGCATGCATGCATGCATACATACAAATAGACGTACTTACATACACGCATGCATACGTAAATCAATTCAGATCTACCTGTCTACCCACATACATACATGCATGCATGAATGTCGATGTCGACATCTAGCTTCGTCATGCCGTGTCATCGTCATCGTCGGTGTCGGCATCCAGTTGAGTGCTACCAGAGATCGGGTCGGCGTTTGGGATGTTTCCACCAGTTGAGAGATTCGATATCTCGACAAACGAACTGCACTACAAAAATTGTACAACGTTGCCCGCTCATTCCAAGATCCTCCGTCTCCGCCCTCCTTCCACCACGTCGTCACCAATGACAGGGGAGAACCGGAGGTGGCAGACAGTAGGACGAAGTGTGTGAGGCAGAGGGACAAAGAGCTTGAGACTGACGCAAGAGCACTACAAGGGATCAGGTAGGAGGTATGTGGACAGAAGGATGGACGTATGAAGCTTAGTTACAGGTGGGTTGGAAGGGGAGGTGGGCAGAGGGAGGGAACCGCAGTGCCTAAATAACCTTCAGGGCATCTCGGCTGCACCCAAGCGCGGGTCGGCCCCGAAATTCCTGGAGAAAGCAATTGCAATGATGATCATCAGCGCGACACTGCCATTGGGCATCTCACGCTCTGAAAGCGTCACGATCCTGGCGCGAGCCACCACATCTGCGCAGGCAACGCTGCTGGTGAGCACGGCCGTGCATGCGTGCACCGCAGAGCTTCCGAGCACCACAGAACCATTGCTCGTCTGCAGCGCTCGAGGTCGAGCTCGCGTCTGTGAGCCCGCTGGGCGCGTCGGGCCCAAGCACAAAGAGGCGCCACAGAACATGCGCCTACGAGAGACACGTTGGGGGAGGCTGGGTGCAACGACGAACCAAAATACTTGCGCCAAGCGCAGTGGTTCCGGGGGTGAGCGGGGCGGGAGGTGTTCGTTATCTGCTCGCTGCGCGGATGCCTAGCAGGGTAGACCATGATAAAGTTGAAAGCGCAATCAGGAGACAAGTGGAAACACTCCGCGAAGGGGTCCCTGGTGCACCTGGGGGCCAAACCAGGCAAGCCTCAGCTTCTGAGGAGTTCCTGCCCTGGGTGTGCCTCTGGACATGAAGCAAGCGTGTGGAGTCCGTTCTCGCATTCCAAGCTGATGCTGCGTCCACGGCACAACCGCCCTGCACTCACTTGCATGTGGGCCCGGCGCTAGAGGTACGAGACGTTGGGGGCTCAGCACGTGGGACTGTGTGAAGTAGTTCGCAGAACAGCGAACGGTAACGATGAGGTGCCTCCACCAAAAGAAAGCAATAACACTAGGTGCTGCATTGGGATGTGCGGCATTTCATGCGAGCCTGAGATACGCCAATGGCAAGTCGGGGGGGGAGTCCAGCATCGCAAACACAGGGCGAGACGAGCGTCTCGGAAGGGGCCCGGTAATCGCGCGGATGCTGCGGAAGCAGACCCCAGGAAGTCATCCAACACAATCTGCTTGGCATCCCCGGCGACGTGTCCAGCGCCTGGTCGATGTGGTGCGCGTTGGTCTGGCGCGGACTTACACGGAAGGGTGATAGGACAAGAACGATGTCATCATGCGACGTCTTCAGAGTGCAGTCTAAGACTTCCCTCGTCTCTGGACTCCAAGCGCAACATAAACAACTTGATATATTGGAACACGAAACGATCACGATCACAACTGAATGCTCCTCTGGGATAAGTCAGAAAGACATCGAAAACCTTACTTACTCACAGTCTGAATTCCTTGCCCTAAAGTGTAAGTGTCTCTCTCTCTCTCTCTCTCTCTCTCTCTATATATATATATATATATACAGATATGCAACTATTTATAAATATGAATGTGTGTGAATTGCCACCCGCTGCCCATCGTCTCATCCGTCTTCTCCTCCGTGTCCTCCTCCTCCTCCTCCTCCTCATCATCATCATCCTTGTCCTCCTTATCGTAATCTTCTCTATTGTCCCCTCGCCCACCACGAATCGCGACTATTAACATCCCATCCTCATGCGTCCTACCGGGCACGGTCACACTCTTCCGCCCAGACAGCAGTCGCCGTCAGGCCCCATGTGGAAGACCTTCCTGATTCGCCCCCTCAGCTCCCCCCAAATCTGTGCCTCCCCTCGTCCTCTTCCTCCGCTGTTCGCTGGCCACTGCCATGTTCAGCTCGCGGCCTTCTCTCTGAGAATCGCACTGGGCCTCAACTTCGGCGCTCCTCTCGGCGGCGACGATAGGGGCGAATAGCCCAGGGGCGGGCATTACACGCATTCGCCCAAAAGCATTTTCGAAGACATAGATCATCGGCGCACCTGGATACATATATTGCTCTCCCCTGGGCTATTCGCCCCTATCGTCGCCTCTGATCCTCTTGCGCATCCTCCCCAACCCTCCCCGCCGCCTCCAACCCTCGCCATCGCACACCTCACCATCCTTCTGGTGCTCCTCCGGCCCCGCCCCTCGACTTCGTCGTTCCCTTCCTCCTTCTCCTCCTCCTCCTCCTCCTCCCCCATTATTCCTAACCCTCCTCATCATCCCCCTCGTCCCCCCTTGCCCTTCAACCCCTTGTCCTCCTGCTCCCCCTCCTCGTCGAGGGGCCTGCGGCCGCGGCAGGGGCAGTTCCTCCTCCACCCCGCCTCCGCGCCCCCCCCCTCCCTGCCCGAGCCCCCCTGCGAAAGACCTTCGGCCACGGCGGAGCAGAAGGATCGCCCGCCTACCAGGGAACCTGCACATTCACTGTGACAGTGACGTTAGTGACTACCTACCAGACCAGACCACCCCAACCCAACCCGAAGACCCGACTTTCGGGTTGGGGGGGGTAAGGGTTCCACATGTGTTTTTTCGATGTTTCCCGCCCCCCCCCCCCCACTGGAAATCGAGGGTAAATCTGAACCTTCGGGTTGGCTTGGGGTGGTTTGGCGTGTGGTGAGTTAGGGGCCCAGCTGCAGTCAAAACTGCACGCCCGTGCCGAAACTTGTCGAGAGGGGCTGGCCGTCGACAGTGGCTGAGGATGCATCGACGATGACCGAAGAGGCACGGATGCAAGGGTACTCCAGATTTCGTCATAAAAGGGAGGGGGTCTGGACCCTCCAAGACAAGCCATTTCAGACCCCCCCCCCCGTGGGAGAACCCTCCCAAACACCGTCCCCAGACCCCCCAGGCCATCCAAGATAGCCTGGAAGAGACCCCCCCCGAAATGAGACCCCCCATCCCTTTATTACGAAATCTGGGGTACCCTTGGGAAGTCGGTCATCATTACGATCAGTGCTGACTGAACCAGCAAGGGACAGCAAGGGTCAGCAGGAGTGGCAGGGACGGGCCTTGGCTGTAAATGGAAGGGAGCAGTGGGGAGCGAGGAGAGGTCTGTCGCAGCGATCCAATCGACCACTGCAAAGCCACGTTTCCGATTCCGTCCTGCCCCATAAGCAACAGAGGCGCAGACACTGCGCAGACACAATTTGGGGGGTCCCGAAACGGTGCGGTGACAGACCGTGCGATGACCTCGAACTCCCCCAAGACCTCACCGCACGGTCCGTCACCTCACGGTCTTGGGACCCTGGAGGCCCCTGTCGCCCGAGACGTCCTCGGAGAACGACCCGAGTCCCAAAACCATGCGGTGACCCCGCATCCCAACGGCCTCACGGCACGGTGCGGTCACCACCCCATTTGGGGGCCCCCGAACAATGTACTATTCGGCGCAATGGCCTTCGGAAGCACTACGGGGGGGCAGGCGGAGGCGGGTCCTTCAGGCTCTCCGCCTCGTGCCGCAGGAAGTCCTTCAGCTTCTTCAGGTCGCCGTCGTTCCTGGCGGCGGAAGGGAGCGCGAGCATGGAGCGCTGCGCCCTTGAAGTCCCTGCCCGAGCCTCCCCCCCTCCTCCTCCTCCAGCATCTCCTCTTCGGCATCATTACACTCTGCATCCTTCCTCCTCCTCCTCCTCCTCCTCCTCCTCTGCGGTGTTGAAGTCCCAAGAATGCTGCTCTGGCACGACGTCCTACGAGTAGTATTTTGGCAAGATTGGAAATCTTCAAACGGCTGTCGTCCAACGGAGCACTTCCCGCAATGAATACATATATTTATATATATATATATATATATATGTAAACACATATATATGTATGTATAATGAACTTGGAGGGAGGTTGATTTGGAGCGCTTTTCATTTTCGGCGACGGCGGGCGTCATGTGGGGGCGAGGGGGCATGACGTATTTCCCCCCCCCCCCAGTGCAGTTGATAAAAACGTGCGTGCACACCACCTCGTTTTGCGTTGTTGCATCGCCATCGTCAGCATCACCATCGGCATCGCAACAACATCATCATCATCAGTATCAGCATGGCAATCAGCATAATCATCGTCATCGTCATCATCACCATCATCATCATCACCATCATCATCACCACCATCATCACCATCATCACCAGCATCATCATCACCACCCTCATAATCGCACCTCTCACCTCATCCTCTCTCTCTCTCAATCTCTCACTCTCTCTCTCTCTCTCTTTCTCTCTCTCTCTCTCTCTCTCTCTCTCTCTACTCAGAACGAATCATGCTTACCCTGGCTCCTCCTTATCCTGATTATAGTTTCCAGTGTGACCATCGCCACAACCCACAAGCACTACAATAGCATATCAAAAAAGATCATCCCCATCATTCCCGTCATCATCGCCCGTCCAGTCCTCATCATTATCATCCTCATGCCGCCCACTTGCCCCCACCACCCTCCTTAGAACTCCTCATGACTATTCATGTTCCTCTTCGTTGTGATCATCAACGTCACCACCGCCACCACGTCCATCCATGGAATCAACATCGCCATCAGCATCACCATCCCTGCCATATCCTCCTTTCGCCCTTCTCAAGACCCATCCGCCCCGCCTCTCCCATGTTGTCTCTTCAGCACTAATCGTGCTTACTCCGCATCCTTTTCCCTCCTTCCCCGCAACCACCGAACCGCAACCACCGCCACCATCACTTGCACCGCAACCACCGCCACCACAACCATCATCATCTACATCACCGGTATCATCATCATCGGCTTAAATCTCATCATCACCATCATCATCATTCCCACGGCCATCATCACCATCAACCGCATCATCATCATCATCAGTATCATCATCATCATCATCATCATCATCATCATCATCATCATCATCATCATCAACATCATCAACAAAAACAGAATCGCATGCTCCCCATCCTCCTCCTCATCCTCACGATCATCAGCACATTCGTCGCTAGCATCACCGTCACAATAATCATCATCATCATCATCATCCCCGCCATCGTCATAATCACCCCCCATATCATCATGATTATCTACATCAATAACACACGCATACTCAGTATCATGATACTGGTATACCTCTTAGGTTCATTCCTGTTTTCCCTCCTGGGCTCCCACTGCGCAGCAAGCGTTGCATCATTGTGCGCTCTATACTGGCACGCACTGTCGGCAATGACTATGTTCCTGCGACTCCTGTGTACAGCGCGCTGCACCGTACTGCAGCTGCCTTAACAACGAGTTCTTAATCCAATACGACTAATTACCACCACCACGACCACTGCTACAACTTCTACTACTACTACTACTACTACTACTACTACTACTACTACTACTACTACTACTACTACTACCACTAACACTCCCACTACTACCACTACCACTTTTACCACGACTACTGGCGGTAATAAGAATATTGATGTACGCGCTGTAGAGTGTGGACGGCGCGCTGTGCCACGATACAGTGCGAAGCGGTACTGCAATGGACTGATCACTGAGCGTGGTTCTATCGCTACTGCTGTGCTGTGTACTACCTTTCCGATCATTCACCCTCAGCCCTCTTGCCCAGCTCCTTTCTAAGACTTTCCGCCTCCCCTTCTTCATCCTTTTCCTCCCTCCTCCTCCTCCTCCTCGGCCTCCCTCCTCTCTCCCACATCCATCCTCCTCTCCCCTCCCGCTTGACAACCCAACCATGTTTTCCAGAGCCCGGGAACTTCTCACAACGCTTTCCTCCCCGCCTTGCAAAAGGATCCCATTTGTGGCGGATCCCAGAAGCATTCCATTCGTGGCGGATTGCACATTGATTTCTTTTGTGGCGCCTTACAGAAGAAGTTTTGTGGCAGATCACACAGGTATTCTTTCCTTGTGGCGCATTTCAGAGGGATTCTTTTTGCGGCGGATTACAATTGGAATCCTTTTTGAGGGGATTCAGAGTTAATTTCTTGCGCGGCGGACTACAACTTGATTGCTTTTGTGGCGGAGTACGAATTGATTTTGTTGGTGGCAAATTACACATGTATTCCTTGTGTGGTTGATTCTACAGGGATGTCTTTTGCGGCGGGTTATTAAAATTCTCCTTCTACAGCAGACTATACATTGATTTTTGTGGCGGATTACAAATTCTTACTTTTGTGGCGGAATACCTATTGATTCCGTTTGTGGCTAATGAAAATGGGTTCCTTCTGCTGTGGATTACAAAAGGATCTCTTTTGTGGGGAACTACGTAAGAGGAAACCAAGGAGAAAATGACAACAAATCCAAGGAAACTGTGAACAGCGTTATGCTTGAAAACTGTTTTTGGTGCCGGAGGCAGCGAAAAAAAAAGAAAACACATTGATTTCAGCATCCAGAGCTTCAAAACGTTGTGTTCACAGCGTTGTTTCATTCTGGAGCGTGTTCATCTTTTCTAAATGTAAAGCGCTGTGCTTTACAACGGGTGTTGTTCCACAGTGAAAAAAGCACGCGATAAAAAACACATACTGTTTGTTTGTTATCCACGATTACTGAACACGCTATACTTCACCATGGGTTCCGCATCGGGATAAAAAAAATGTGAACCACAGCGTTTTTGAGCTCTGGATGCTGAAACGCTGTGTGTGCAGTCTTTCTGCGCTTCCGATATTAAAAACATTGAAAACATCACAGTTTTAACTAATGCTCCTCTTGTTTGTTGTGTCTCTCCCTGGTTCCCCCTAAATAGCTTCCCACATAAAAGGAAGCGGTTCGTAATCCGCCACAAAGGGAATCAACTTGCAACCTCCCGCAAAAGAGTTTTTGGTTGTATTCCACCACATAAGAAATTAATGTGTAACTCGCCACAAAAAGAATTCATGTGTAGCCCGCCACGAAAGGAATTCTTTCGGAACCCGCCACAACTGGAATCCATGTGTAACCTCCTATAAAAAATCTGCTTGAAATCCGCAACAAAGGAGATCCTTTTGTCAGCGGCAGAAGAGAGAGAAACAGAGAGAGAGAGAGGGAAAGACAGCGAGCGAGAGAGAGAGGGGCGGGAAAGAGGAAAACAAAGAGAGATCAAGAAAACACAAGACAGAAAAACGACGTTGTACACACACACACCCGTATCAGCCTTACCCCCCCCCCGCCCGCCGCGTGGCTTCGGCGGCAACGATCGACGAGCGAAAAAGACGACGACGACGACGAGGGGGTAGGTAATGTGGTAGCGCTTCGGCGTGCACCACAGCGCCTGCGCGCACGAGGCACGACCAAGGGCCACGAGCGACGACCAGTTCAGCACCCCCTGCGCGCACCACAGTGCCTGTGCGCACCACAAGGCCTGGGACCCTGTGGCGCGGGCAATGGTTATATCCACATCCATTGTGTCTTGGAGTTTCGGGATCTCTTCCCCAAAAACATAAGGCGTACTGGATATGGATTAACCCCTGGCTCCCAAAAGGCTAGATGTTATTCACATCCAGTGCGCCTCGGCCTTGCGGCGCCACTTCCAAGAAAGTCCAAGACGCACTTGATATGGATATAAAGACTGCCCGCATACGAGGTCCCGACGGGACCAAATGACAGAAAACCGCGAGGGCGGCTATCTTATCAAATCCGGTATGTGAGTTGATTGTGGTTATTGTTGTTCTTGCCCTGCGTATACTCCTGCACGTTGAGCCCACGACGCCCGGAAAAGGCCCGTGGAAAAGAATGGCAAGGAGTGGGGAGGAATGGGGAGGGCAGGCAGTGGCACCACAACGCGTGTGCGCACGAGACACGACCAGGGGCCACGGGCCACAGCCGCAAGTCTGCCGCCACACGGGCCTGCTGGGCGGCGGCCCCCGGGTCCGCCGCTACGCGGGCCTCTGCCGCTTCTTGGCGCCGAAATGGCTTGACCAAAAATTGGCGATGCGAAGGAAGAGGAGGAGGAGGAGAGAGGGGGAGGAGGAGGAGGAGGAGGAGGAGGAGGAGGAGGAGGAAGGAGAGGAGAAGAGGGAGGAGGAGAGGGAAGGGGAATAGTCTTCACCGGGAACACAAAATCACAATTTCGGAACCTTATGCGGATCCCAGTCCCAGTCCCTATGCGAATCCCTATGCCGATCTCTAGGCGGATCCTCATGCGGATCCCTGCGCGGATCCCTATGCGCATGCTTATACGGATCCCGATGCGGATGCTTATGCGGATGCCCATGCGCATTGCCATGCGAATCCCTATGCGTAGCCCTAGTTATGCGGATCCTGACGCGGATCCCTACGCTGATCCCTATGCGGATGCGCATGCTATGCGGACCCCCTGAGATTCCCAGTGCGGACCAGACTCCGATGCGGATCCTTATCAGGACACCTCTGCGGATCCCGATGCGCACGGCAGCAATGCCCAGAACGCACTGGGGGGGGGAGGGGGCAGCGTTACGTCATGGGGAGGGGGGACGGTGGCCATGACGCCCGTCATGCCCCAAGCAGTACAGCAACACGCTCGTGCAACATCGTTGACGGGTCTTGGATTGACGCTGATCCTCCTCCTCCTCCTCCTCCTCCTCCTCCTCCTCCTCCTCCTCCTCCTCCTCCGCCCGTCATACCCCCCCTCCTCCTCCGCCTCCTCCTCCCCGCGTCCTCGTCGACAGCGTGTGGATCTGGCTTATCACCAGCTCCATGGCCCAGGCCGCCGCGCGCCCCGCCGCGCGACGACCCGTGGGGGCCCGCGGGGGCCGGAAGGGGGCGGCCTGCGATGCGGCGGTGGGCATCCGCGGCACCGCGT